CAGAAATTTACTTTTAATACTTAAGTAGATTTTGTGCCAGAAATTTACTTTTAATACTTAAGTAGATTTTGTGCCAGAAATATACTTTTGATACTTAAGTAGATTTTGTGCCAGAAATATACTTTTGATACTTAAGTAGATTTTGTGCCAGAAATATACTTTTGATACTTAAGTACAAAAAATATCAGACACTTTAAGACTTTTACTCAAGTCATATTTTTAGAGAAGAGTAACTTTTACCAAAGTATTTTTATAAGATACTTGTACTTTTACTCAAGTATCACTTTGAGGTACTTTATACAACACTGATTACAACTATCAGCCACACAAAATGCCTACAACCCAATCAACCTTTTGATATTAAGCTAAAACTTGGTGTGGTAGTAACTGAAAGTAACTTTTATACATAATTTGAGTATTAAATGTTGACACATTGCATGACATTATGTACATTACTTAAAAATTGTAATTGAAATGGTTTTATTTCATTCTTTGTTGATCTTTATCTAAAAAACCTGGCATGAAAGTTAGCAGGGGAAATGCATTCTTTCAAGTAAATTTAAGGCTTTAGCTGAACGGAAACACTTCAGATGGGTGCAGCCGGAGAGAAAGGACAAAAATATCCAGAAAATTTGGTCTATATTTGGCTGCGTGTCTCAGTCTCTCTTTATGTGTAAACCACAGTGGAGAACAGTGGTGAACAGTGGTGAAACCCTACACTTTCTGTTGCTCCCTCCCACTCGGTCCAACACTGGAGATTACCTCAACACTTTTTGACCCTCTGTGAACACTGGAGTGTTGCCCTGGATTAAACAACAACTCATCCTGGTTTCACSTATCTGCAGGGGGAACATTTAGAGTTATTAGCTGCTGGTGATGATGCTGGCCTGATGCTGACTCAGCACATCCTGCTCCAGTGACACTGACTGATCAAGTAAGGTAAGAATAATCTCACATTTTCTGTGAACATACAGTGTAAATGCTCATGACTRATGAAATTTACTGAAGATGAAAATGAGTTGGTAAAGTTAAAATACRACCTCAAAGCTAAATGCAGCAAAAAACTAAAAGTAGCAAAAGTCTAACTACAGGTTAAAAGTATCAAAACTGTAGCTAAAAGTTATTAGTTGCAAAAGACTAACTAAAAGATAAATTAACATAAGAGGACATCAAACACAGAAGAGTTTAACAAGAACTATGAAGATATTTCATTGTTTTCTACAGGGAAAATATTGAAATTCATCATATTTTTTCAGTAGTATTAAAAAAAGTTACAAAAAAAGGTTATATCAGCCATCTCCTGTTTGAGATGAACATTTTAGGATATGAAAGGCAAAATTACTAAAATGTATGCAAGTGTATAGAAGTTAAATGGCAGAAAATTAACAAGACTATAATAGTATGAATGATTTAACTTTCATACAAATAAATAAAGTATGGTGAATATTGCAGGTTTCTCTAAAATGAGGCTTAAAGAATCTTATTATTATGTCATATTTTTCAGGTTTTTCCTGTTCACTGCTTAAAAAAACGTGTGTTTCTGATTTTTACATTTGGGGAACCACATACGTGCTCCTTCTGTTATAAACATTACGCTGCAGTGGCAGGTCCAGAGGGAGGAAGTGGAAACAGGAGTGATGACACAGACCTGTAGTGTGTGAGGAAAACTCAGATTGAAATACTACACTTTACCTCAAATACTATATTTACTTGCAAAAAGGCAGAAACGTTCACTGAAGACTTTGAAAGTGTTTCACTTATTGCCTGTCAGGGTTTTGTGTGTTTGTAGCATCAGCAAAATAATTCATTAACAACTAGAGCAGAGGTTTTTAACCTTTTTGACCTCAGGGCCCAGTTTGTTGAACATAAAGTGACACAAGGCCCAGTCAGATATTACTAATGTATGGATCAAAATGATAATTATTATAAATCTTGGTTTAATTTTTATTGTATTTGAATCATAACTAAATAAAATGCACTTACAGTTTAAAAGTAAAACTCCTGTCAAATAATCACAAGACATGATTATAAAAAACATTTTTATATTGTAACCTGCCCATAACTATTAATGTAAATGTGTCAAATGAAAAGAAAAAAACTGTAAAAATAAATTTGATAAAGTACAAATGAAAATAAAGCCTTTTTAAACTTTTACAAC